AAAAAAAAAAAAAAAAAAAGTCGTTTAGAGGACTCACATCCCCACCCTGCAACTTGAGTTTTCATTCCACTTGTTATGAACTACACACCTGAACTACACACCTGGGCACCTCCTCGGATCCCATCCTTGCATTAGCTAATGGCGGGATTGAAACAGCCCCTCGGCAAGCCAGAAGGCCATCCCTACCCAATTAGCACTGCCTGTGGCATTCTGCTTAGAGATCCACTTTTGTTTTACCCCAAGCACAGGAGGTGACTGAATAAAATGTTGATGAAAGAAATAAGAACCCTGCCCAGTTCCACAGCACAAGTCATAACACAACCCTATGAGAGAGCAGCCTGTGGCGGGATCATGGCCTGCAGATTTCCACCTTCCTGCTCGGCTCCTCTTAAGTATCCCAGGAAACATTACACGGATTAGGACAGATACTCTGCCTTCTCTTTAAACTCTTAGCCCAACCTATGATTCTGAGAAAGCACACTGTCTTTCAAGGCTCCTCTGTACTTACTATTGCTGGGGCGCTGAAGCTCTTCTCCTCCCATCCCCTCCCCTGGTATGCAGACCAGAGGAGGGGGGAGTGGGGGAGGCAGGGGACAGGTGATAAAGAACACCCCCACATTTTAGAAATTGATCCACCCCACTGTGCCCCTTCTCACCAGATGTGCAGACAGCTGAGCGTGGCAAAGAGAATTCCTGCAGCGAAGGCCAGGGGAATGGCCAGGAACACGGTCAGGAACTTGTAGACCACATACTTGCTGATCTCAAAGAGGGCATGGCTGCAGATCCACACATTGTCAAAGGAGTGCGTAGACACCGGTTCAGCCACCACATCCTCGAAGCCCAGCTGCCAAGACAAGACGCAAGCCCCCCCAAACTGTTACCCAACCTGCAGCCCTCGCAGCCAGGAGCGTTCCGGGTGGGAAAAGAAAGAAGAAAGGGCTTCCACCAAGGCTGGGGCACCTTCTTTTAGAGTCACGATCTGCTCCCTGGGATTTAACTAAGGATCCCTGGCTACGCAGGCGGCCCTGGAGAAGGGGGTGTAGGTCCCCCGCCCCCTGGACAGACCAGTGTGAAGAGTGGGGCAGGGAGGATGGAAACAGGGTGGTAGGGGCTTGAGCCCGCCTCAGGCCCAAGTTACCGCTCCCGCCGCGCGTTACCTGGAGATGCGAGTTGAGTCGGTGGGGATCCCTGTCCGGGCCCGAGTCCGCGAACTTCTCAGGGTGCACGTATTCGACATCGCTGTGGCGGCTGTAGGCGTCGTCGTC